ACGACAAATCGAGTGAGGCTTGAAATCAAAGGCGGAAGAATTATTTGGATGGGGGAAATTGAATATGATACTTGGATGGTTAGAGAAATTACATATTCAAATACGTCTTTAAATTTTTAGTACTGGTAAAATAATTAAATTAGTCTCTTCTAATTAGTTTTCATTATAATTTTTTTTATTTCGTAAAAATTGGATATCGATAAAACATTTTACACTATTTTTCATTTTTTCATAAAAACGAATTGAGAATTTGGTATGCGATTCAGAATCGATGGCGACTAAGATTCGATTAAATATGGTAAGTATGAAATATTTTTAAAGAATTTTTAGATTGAAAAATATTTTTATATCTGTATATGATTACTACCCAAGATTTATTAAATTGTACAGCGAGTAAATACTCAGGCAATATGCATACAGTTTTGCATTTATCGGATATACATAAAAATGAAAACATGCATTTCTCCTATTAAGACGCATTTTTTGGTACTGAGATTGAAATTTCCTATCATGGATATTATCTAAGAACATAAACCATTAGAGTAATAAATGCTTTGTAACATAGGATTTTAGGATTACGAATGTTTACTGCTTGTATATCTTGTTATCTTTTGATTTTACATATGCTTTAAAAACTGCTCTAATATGAACATCAAAATCTGTTACTCTCCGCACTGACCATAAGAAAAAGATATAATTATTATTAGTATTCTGATTTACGAATACGCTATTTTAAATTTTTTTAGTTACAATACAGTTAAAACGAGAGCGTATATTATTTATAAGCACACTATTTTTATGACGTTATAAAATAAGACTTATACTTAAATTTTGCTTAAAATAAATGCTCTATGCTTTGATGTAGTTTTATTTATTGATAGTGATATATTTTGTATTAAATCATTAATGACACTAGAAATAATAAAAACTTAAATAATTTTCATTAGAATAGTTTTTTTACATGTTCTATCTAAAATTCTGTTGAATGCCAGTATTTCTTTGATTGATTTTCATCTCTAGAATTTAGAAAAATGTAACTTATTAGTTTCATTAGACATTTTTTTTTTCTGTTTACACATAAATAGCTGTAAAATTTTAATCACTCTAAAATGGCTAATAACAACACAGTATTATCATTCAAAACTTAGAAAACTTATTACTCTATAAATTTTAAAGATCAAAATGATTAAAAACAAAACATACATTATTTAAAAATTTAAAAGTGAACAGTATTTTCACATTTGAAATTATGAGAAGATAAGAGATTCTGAGAAATTTTGCTTGCAAATATTTATTGTGATTTATAAAATAAATCTGTAGAACTGAATTCATTGTTTTGTTGTTACCACAACATTTTTTGAATAATACGGTTGCCAAATTTATTTTTTTTTTTGTCATAAACTAATTTTAATTTCATAAATATGTTATCTATTTTTCCAACATTTCTTTTGTCATATTTTATCTCACAGTAGCCCCTTTCAATATTTTTTATAGTCTTGCAGAGTATAAAAAGAAAATAACAATCGTAGAAAAGTGTTTTTCTTTCAACCCGGATTGCTGGGACATTTTCTACAAATGTAACATACTATTATGCATCGCTTATGCAAATGTGAAAAAATAAACTTCCTTATTCATTCACTGCTTTCGCTATATGCAATGCATGAAACGTGAAAATAACCGAACATTCTCTTTATTTGATTTCAACAACAATGTGTTATTTACGAGATAAAAATGAATCGAAATTGGTTTAATGTTTTGTATTCGGAAATACAGAAACATTACGAGAAAATTTCTAGACGTTTACTGTATTGTAGTTTTTGTTATTTACGAACTATTGGTAAAAACACACACACACATCTGTTTTGGGAAGCCTAATTTTAAAATTTCTTATTAAATTATAATAAAGTTTTGAATACCCTTACCAGTTTTTTAAAAGAAATTCCGCAGCAAGAATTGCGGATGAAGACTATATATGTGATTTAAATATAAGCAATTTAAATATAATTTAAATGCAAATTAATTTCTTGTTTAAATCAATACTATTTTTATATAATAGTAAAAGAAAGCATAATAAACTTTAAGAATGAAAATTACAGAGCTCGTAAATATTTCGGTGCTTTTTTATAAAAATAAAAGTATGCATACCTGGCATTGAAACCACGTTATCAAAATTCTTCTCTAAATTATCAAATTTTTATTGTAATCATTCTGCATAGTTCAATATATTGAGAAATTCTTTTATTTATTATACAGCGGAGAATAAAAATATTATCTTAATCTTTTTTTTCATGAAAATTAAATTCAATAACATGGGGGAATTGAATTATTCATATTTATTTATTTGCACGAAAACCCATTTTAAACGCATCATGTAAAATTATTAAACAATTTATCTAGTTTCAACAAAGAAAATTTGCTTTTTTTTTAAGTAAATTATTTTTTTTTTTTTTGCCGTATAATGTTCTGAAGATTATTTTACCATTGTAGTCATATTTGCTTTAATTAAACCATCAATTATTTGATAGAAAATACTTTTTGTAGAAAAAAACATGCCGTGAAAGAAAAATGTGGACAATTCCTCTTTCCATACTTATGTCAATACGGCAACCCTCATATTTTTGGATTTGTAGTTTGAGTTTGGCTTCTGTCTGAATAGCATAAAAAAGAATCCTAGAAGTCCAAGATGGAAATTTAAAAAGAAAAAAAAA